CACACGTAACGGAAGGACCTAGGGCATAGATAAAAACCTAAACCATAAAAAATAGTGCTCTTGACGCGAGAATTTCGAGCCACCGAGTAGATTTTGACAGACTCTACAATGAAGAGACTTCATTGACGGCACACTTTATTTGAAATCGCATTCATTAATCTTACATTTAAGAACTAGTGAGTTACAGCCAAATATTTAGATAATAAAAAGTAGAATGACTATTTATAGCTGAATAACATAAGGAGTTGCTTAGTTCATTCAAGTGTACCTTATAAACTTCAAATCCATTTCGATCACTTTCGTCCCTAAGCCACATTTTTAGTGTCAAATGAACTAACTTGCTAAATTTTTTTCTCATCTCTTCGATGAGTTCAGTTATTGATTTGTAACACTTATTCAATTCTTTTTGTTCTATGTATACGTCGAGTTCTCTTAAGTTTGGAAAGACGAAGGATATCTGGGAAAATAATTCTGGAAAAGAATAACTTGTTTCATTGTCCACAGAACAAATCGGCATGCTAAAGTATTTGATCTGTTTTCCGTTTTGCTGGCCAAATACTTTAGAAATTCGTTGAATTACTTCTTTTGTGTGTGTCCACTGTACTTGTAATTTGAATGCAATTAAATTAGGCGAGATACTGATAATTTTTGTGAGATATTCACATGTTTCGGGTGGAAAATCATTGATTGGATCTTCACAAACTATCTTATGAAGATTTACAAATTTTAAATCATGTTTTGATTCAAATTTAGTCGATGGTTGTCCACCATTGCTATCAATTTTCAGTAATTTACAATTGAACAATTTTTGCGGAGTTGAATTTCTATGAAGACTTGTTTCAAACCTTGTTCTCTTCGATGCATGGTCAAACGAAAGAGGTTTGGGTAGAGTGTGGATTGAATAAGTAGAATCTGAAAGTTGTTCGATATGTGGAAAGTATGTGTCTGGTTGATGAATAGTATTAATGTGATATCCGAATTTTTCAAGACGAACGAAATGGTTATCTTTTGACACAAGACTTTGAAATTTGTCAAAGTTGGAAAAATCTTTGTTGTCAACATTGGTAGCCACAAGTGTCAAAGATCGAATTTGGTTTTGAAATAAATTGATGAATTGATTTATTTGTTTTAATTGTGGATTATATGGCTTCTGCCAACTATAATAGTCATAACTGCCAATTTCTAAGTGCAATTTATTTAGCGTTGATGGAATCTTTAACACAGATGGTAGTTTTTCTAAACCATTGAACTCTATCACTGAAAGACATAGTTCTTCCAGGTTTGGCATAATTTGGAACAATTTAATCAATATTTGAATTGATTGTACAGTTAAAGAGAAATTTTTGATGTACGGCATTTGTAAAATGTCGTCATCAAGAGCATCTAAACCCTTCCAATAACACAAAGTGAGTGTATTCAAATTATTTGGTGTATATGAAGAAATAGTTTTTAGTATGTCATCAGGAGCATTGTAAGAAATTGAAAGTTTTGATAAAGATGATATTAATGAGATTGTTTTTTGTAGAAAGGTACTTTCTTTTTCTATTTTGCAATAGATATCAAGCAATTTTAAGTTAGGGAATAGATTCGTATGATGTTCAAGTAAACGAATTTGTTGGCGATGATTAATTTTGAGTGAGTGAATATTTTTTCCATTTATTAGAAGAATATGTTCTCTGAATAGATGAAATTACTTATATTGAAGTGAAAAACCGTCATTAGCTGCTAGATTGATTTCATAGAGGTAAGTTTCGATAATTTGTTGAAACCGATGGTTGAGATTTGAAAATGAATAGATTAGATCAAATTTGTGTAAGTAGCGAAAAATTAATAGGTAGAGTTCATTTGGTAGTGATTCCATAATTAAAAGGCGAATGAAGGCCAATCAATAAAAATGCGTTGCTCTTGTGTACTTGTATGGGTGCCATGTGTGTGTGTATAACGAAGAAAGAAAATTTCTGTTCTCTTTTACACAGAAAAAAAACACAACGAACGTTGTGCAATAACTCTTTTACTACCAGTTAGTGTCATATATTGACAATAGTTGTTATTGTTGTTACATTTATTTCATTTTCTAATTTGTTGGTGTTTGTCTAGTGATGACTCATGATTTGCATATATGTATAATTTTATACATATATTGTATGTTCTTTTCCTTTATGTTGTGATCACTCTAATTTCGTATATAACAATATTTCTAGTTTTATGTTTCTTTTGTTTCTTTTCTTATTCTTCATTTGACTGTATGAGTCATCACAACATATAGATATATACAGGGCCCGCGCGAAGGATCCAATATTAGGGGGGTGTATGGCGGATTGGGGGGGTGTCAGGGAGTACTTTCAGAAAAATCTTGCAGAAAAATCATAAAATGCGGACAAAATCTGCTCTTGTGGCCGGAGAAAACAGAAAATTTTTGATTTTTGGGGGGTGTACACCCCCCTACACCCCCCCGCTCGCGCGGGGCCTGGATATATATATATATATATGCTAGTCTTTTTCAAAAAGGGATGACTCTCTTGTTCGTTTAGTTTTCTTCAACTTGTTAGCTGTTTTCTCGTTTTCTGTTTTTCCAGTCAATAATAAGTTATTGACCTTGACCTTACTATTACGCAATTGATAATATCATTCTTCTTAAATTGCGTATTTTCTTTTTTTTTCAATACATGACAAAAGTAATAGTGACCGCCAAGGCCCGCGCGAAGGATCAAATATTAGGGGGGTGTACGGAGGATTGGGGGGTGTTAAGGAAGAATTTTCAGAAAAATCTTGCAGGAAAATTATAAAATGTGGACAAAATTTGCATTTGTGAACGGAAAAAACTGAGATTTTTTGGTTTTGGGGGGGTGTACACCCCGTAAATCCCCCGCTCGCGCGGGGCCTGCCTTTAGTGATCAAGGGAGGTAAGTAGGGGGGCAAAAATGTTAACTTTCATTTAGAGTTGATTGTGATTTTGATGTTTTTTTTCTAGTTTTTGATTCAGAATCTAACGTACAAGAAACAAAAGCAAGTCAAAGCATCCACTTGAATTCGAAAGTTTGTTGTTTTTCTGAGTTTTTTATTTATTTTTCTAGGTTTATATTTTAGTTTTGCGATAAGATGGTTGGTTTTAATGCAAGAAATAAAGATGTTCTAGATTTAGGGTTTCTCTGTCGAATATGCTCACTAATTTTACGAGATCCTGGCAACTTCTTTGTGGCCATAGGCAATGTCAATCATGTGTTGAATCAATTGATGAGTAAAATATAGATTTTCATTAATTCATATTTAAATTTATCTTTGTATTTCTAAGTGAAGTAGTAAAATATGCAGAATGTAAGGAAGAAAGTCCAAAAAGAGAGGTTAGAATATGAAACTAATCTTTATTTAACCAATATGTTTTAGTTTTTTAGGTGATTTTTGATAGAGGTTTCAAAAATGATATGCAAACATTAGCTATCACATGTTCTTTATGTGATTGGAATGGGCCATTGAAAGAATACGTGGTATGATGAATGACTAACGCTTGTCTCTATAGGACCTGATACAATACTTGAAATTATCTCGTATACAGAAAGCATTATAAGATAGTGCAAACGAAGTTGAATACTAAAATTTATTTTTTTTTGATAGATTAAATGAAAAACAAAAGTTTATCTCTAGAATGTCGAAAAGTTCGACTTGTTATTAGATATATGAATAATCTCATGTTGTTCTATTGTCAAAAAATTGTTACAGTTCATTTAGATTTGCGATTCTATCAGTACAGAATCGATTCACAATTTCTAGTTTGATTAGAGTATCCGGACGAAACGGTGTCGGATTAATATCTGGCTTAATGTTGCCTGTTGACTTCAGATACTTAGTACTTGAATGATGTGTCAGTTACATCAAGAATAACAACTTTTTCGAAGATGGTCGATCTTCACTTCATAGTCATAGCTATTTTTTGACGTCTGCCAAAAACCGATTACCAATTGTTCTTAAAACTTGTAAAAGTTTCATTAATGTTCTACTGTATATCAATATTTTCGTAGTGATGCGTAATTTTTTAAGACTCATCTTCAACAAGTTCATCTGAATCCAACATGTGAGTATTGTAACAAAAAATTTGATTCGACGAACAGCCTTGACTACATAAAGTAAGTGAATGTGATAAAATTACTGTGTCTTGTATTCTCAAAGAGTTTGGTTGTTCGGAACCAGTATTACGCGTAGCAATGTCAACTCATTATATGACTGAACAACATCAAAATGCAATAATGACTTTTGTACGTCGTTTTACATTCCAACTGGCGAATGATAAGTACCAAGGAAATTCCGGTATAGGTATGAGTATGGAACTACCTCATTCTCCTACGATCATGATTCCACATGGCAATAATAACACGAGTGCTCAACTACAGGAGATCTGCGAAACAATTGATATCCTTGCCGGAGGAATTGGAACATTGAATGAAGATATACAACGTCTTTGTACTGAGTCACTTCATATACAGAATGTAACGGATAGTTTAACCAAAGATTTTACCACTCTGCAACTAAGTGTTCAAGAGCAAAATAGTTTTCTAGATGGAATTAAACCTAATCAAGAAATTCTTCATCAAGATGTTGCATCATTAAAACAAAAAGTGGAACATATGAAATATGTTTCCTATGATGGAACATTTATATGGAAAATAACTGCTGTCAAGGAAAAAATGAGTAAAGCTTCTATCACTTTCACCTTCGCTTCTGCAAAATATTCTACTTTCATCCACAAATATTTAGGGATTAAAGTCATTACTGCTTTCGATATTCCGTATTTCACTGTTCACATTTGAATGAATGCTCTATTTCGACACTGATAAAAACCTATTTTTCATAACCTGCCTTGTGTTGCTTTCGATAAAAATTGTCATTGATAGCTTTAGTTTATAGACATGCCAGTAGTTTAAATGTTTGTTTGTAGTTGATCCCAGTCGGAACGACAAACCTCCATCTATTCACCACCATTTTACTCATCACCGATTGGGTATAAAATGCGCGCTCGTTTATATCTACATGGCGATGGTAATGCTCGTCGTACACATTTGTTACTCTTTTTTGTACTCATGCGAGGTGAACATGATGGGCTCTTGAAGTTTCCGTTCAACTACAAGGTCACATTTTGTTTGTATGACCAAACTCCGGCACAACGACATATCATCGATTCGTTTCGGCCTGATATTAAATCCAATAGTTTTCAACGACCACGCTCTGATATGAATATCGCGAGTGGTATACCGAAGTTTTTTCCTTTGACAATGATTGAACAAGATGGAAATCCTTATGTTCGAGATGATACAATGTTCATCAAAATAATGGTCGACTTCGGCGATATATCGAAAACATTGTTGCCATACGCTGTAAGTCTTAATCCTGGTCTGCCAACTTATATTCAGCAAATCATGATTAAACAGGAAGCAGAGAGACGGGCTCAACAAACTTCTACTTCACCAGATTTATTACGACAGCATACTGAATAACACAGGAATTGTCGTTCGTTGGTGAAACATAGCGAAATACTGATGTTGATGAGTGTTCGACCATATAACAATCATTTTAATATACAAGAACACTACAATTTTTTTTTCAAAAAATGCGATTCATTGCTTTTTTAATTGATTGTAGAGTGATTTTTATTCCAGGAATTCTTTTTAAAGAAATATTTTTTCAACAATAAACTTACCTCATTCCTCACATATTATCTGAATCCTATTTTTTCCTCTTGTTCTAGCGAAAGTTTTATTTAAAACTGAAATATTTCGAAGTATCCTTTCCTCATTAGGTAAGATTTATGATGTACTAAATAATTCTGAAAAAATTGAACCTTGATTTATATGTGACATGCTAATTGAGAGTAAACATTACTAATACCTTGGGAATACAATCCTTTCATACTCTCACGACTTGAGGGTGTAGATGTGGGTGTGGGTGTGAGTAAGGATTTGGAGAAGGCCCACATTAGCACCTACATCCCTATAAAACTAGACTTTCCTTTTCTTATTCTCTAGATTTATAATCTGCTAAAAAAAGATTGAACAAGGAAAAAAGTGGTTAGAGACTTCTGATTTTATTCGTTTTTTTAAGCAAACAATTTAAGCTTTTAAAGTTGAGCAATATATTCTTCTCTCATGTGTCGCAAGTTTACAACAAATCCTTCAAGTCCTTTGAATAGTTGTCCACTTTCAAATGTCACTCGTTTAGTTGCATCTGCCCAATCGACTTGAATCCATTCTATTCCACCATCAGCGCAACCAGGACATCCAATTCTATCAGCCAATGCTGTAAATGTCTCCAAATCAAGAAGAGAGACAAGTTGTTCCCATTGAATCGATGAAAATGGAAATTGTCGTTGAACTGGAGAATAAGATTCCTGAGGAAAGTTTGGTTGTTTCGATGCGACTAATTCAGGTGGAGATGATGTTATATTGATCGATTGTTGACAATAACCACGACATCTTCCGAATGAAAGACCGCTGGAGATTGATCGAATATTCTTTGTCTCAACCTGACCATAGACTACTGTAAGAAGTGAAACAATGAAAAGATATTGCCATGAAATTTGCATAGTTTAGGTTTTGTAAAGTAACTTGATGTAATCTAAAACAGCTGACAAATATTCACTTACGAGAAAAAAATGATTCTACCACACAAATATGTAACTTATATATGCGATTAATAACGATTCTAGGGTGTCTCAAGAGAAAACATAAATAGATCCCCTCAAGAATAAAAATATTTTTTCTTTTATGCAGGTCTTATCTTTTATTTTATTCGATCAAATGATTGGACGATAAGATGTTACTCTCAAAGAGTCGAAAAGCACTATATCTCTTTACTCAATTTTCAAATCATATTTGAAATGAAATAAGTGTATCTGCTGTAGTAGTGACAATCGATATGGGACATTGTTGACTTTATTGTTGAAAAACAAGATCATATTTACATTTTTTTATTTCTGTATAAATGAATATATCATGTATATTTTGAATGATGGATGAGTATCAGCAATCTATACTATCGTCAGGTGAAGGATGATATATGAAAATTTAATTTTCACATTCTGAGAGTGGAGCTAATGTACGACTTCAACGAAGTAGTGTAGCATTCAACAGTTTTTGAGTGTGGCAAAACGTAGACTGTGAGCCTATTTGATTTGCAAAGGAACAAGCTGCTGTGACCGATTTTGTCCTTGCTTAAGGGATTCATCAGACGGCATATTCAAATTTATCATTATCAATCAATGATTATAACCAAACTGTTTAATCTACCCTATCAAAGACAGACGAGACAGTGTTAAGTATGGCTACTCAATATGAACAAGCAGCCATGACCGGCTTCGTTATTATCATTAATTGATAATGATGAATTTGGACATGCCATCTGATGAGTGCCTTAAGTAAGAACGAAATCGCTCACAGCAGCTTGTTCTAGTAGATTTCTTGCTGGATGAATTGGATAGAAACTTTATGAAAATCTTTGAATTTTTCATCTGATTCCTCGAGCAAGGAATGAGTTTTTCATGTGGAATTAAGATTTCTGAGCATCTTCAGCTAGAGAGATAGGCGCTAAAGTGTACGTGATAAAGAATTTTGTAGCATCTTCAATAAGATTTCTGTGGTACCATCACCCTCAATAGGGAACGCGTATGTTTATTAAATATTCAAAAATCAAGCATAGAAAAGCAACTATATTTGTTCAATATTTCGATTAATTTATCTTTTAGAAAATATTTATTCAATCATTCATTTTATTTTATTTTAAACGAACTATATACAAGAAGTAAAATATGTTTGTTGTTTTTTTGAACAATTCAATCTTACTATCACAAAAATAATTTTTGATTAATATGATCTATTAAATCATCATTAAGTGATTGTTCTAATTGAATTAATCTATTCAACTCTTCTAGGATGTTTTATGTGCTTTTACAATACATAAAAAGAATAAATGACGAGTATTTTTATTATTTTTTCCCATGTCCAAATATAATACATCATGTTTTCTCCTGATAGATTTAAATTAATATAAACACATTATTTTTGATAGTACTGTGTCATATATTCAGAAAATCAGATATTAGAGAAATTGTATATTTAACAGAAGAAGCAAATTATTTTCTTTTTACATTTTATTTCTTTTGATTTTTTTTTGTGTTTGTATCTAGAAATCTAATACAGAGCCCTAATGAGTGTCTGTAATTGTAATAAAATAGCGCAAAATGTGTCGATAAATTAAATTCTGCATATATTTTTAGTTACTAGCACTCTACTTCAATATTATTGTATTTCTACAAAAGATTGATTGTTGAAATACGCAAGAGTTGACACTAACAGATTGAATTTGTCTTTTCTTCAAGAGATACGTCAATCTGATCTTCGATTGAAACACCATCATCCTCAATTTTGTTCGAATCTTTTCTGTTTTAAAATTTACTCTCTTAGTCGAAAAAAAAACAGCGCATCAATTGATGATTTTATGAGTCTTATCCTTTCATCATAAATAGGAGAATGTATCTGGTTAGTAGTTGATCGCAATATCATATATATGTTTATTATTTATTCAGGAAGTGTCTCATAGACATTCTTGATCGATCAAAAAGAGAAGCTGATAAAATGACGTAACATTGAAATAGTATTGAGATACAGGAAAAAAGCAAATAATCACATCAGTGGACATCAATGATTCCGGGCGAACACAACTCATACAGAAAACACCATGGCTGAAGTAGACTGCTAGCTTGTGCTCGATAACAGAACCATTCAAGAAAAAAGTCATCAGACAATGTTTGTTTTTCAGCTTTGATTTTCTCTTCACACATCGTTGTGATCGATGCCATGGTGAACTATTTAGAAAATACATAGAGTGAGGAGATATACCTAGGATCCAGGAATTCGTAATTGAAAAATTAAGAATTTCAAGAAATTGAAGCTCCTATAACAATTTCATCACTTAGAGTTAAACCATACTTCCCAATCCAGGAAAATCAAGAAATTCTATTGAATTGCTTGATTTTCGTGGATATCGCGATACAGTTTAGGCCTAAGTGATGGAATTGTTTTAGCAGCTTGAATTTCTTAATTTTCCTTGAATTGTCAATTTCTGGATCCTAGGTACTGCTGAAGGAGTCCCCAAGAATTCCTGGTAGAAACTAATAGAAATTGAATTATTTTGAAATTTATTGTTTTTGAATTACTTTATAATGTATTTATATCATGAATCGGTTTACATGTGCAACATAGTTGAGATAACGTTATCTTTTATCTTGTCCTATTTAAGAAAAAGTTGAGATTGAATCACATTTTTAAGGCTCTTTGTTATCAACAGTAGGTAGGTAAGATCAGCTCGAAATGAAGCTCTTCAAAGGATATATCAATCAATCGAAAAGCGAATATCGATGTTGAAAATGTCTTCCGCAAAAGTCTTCATTTTCATTCTATGGGTTAAAATGTGTGAAATCATTGTGGAAATTTTATTCGAAGACTTAATTAAGTCTACTAAAATAATTGCAAATCTTACTAATAGGTAATATAAAAAGACGGTTTTTCTTTACAGAATTATTTGTTAGAAAGTTATTAAAGAGAAAGCTGAATTAGCGATATCAGTTTAAAAACTGAACTAGAATGGTAGACGTAACAATCGTTGGATTTTTAGTTTCATGTTTCAGAAACATGACGAATGTCTTATTGATAATCTGATTGTTTCCATAAAATAAATAAAACTCGTTAAACTTAACATATTCAGTTAATTTTTTTCATTTTACAGAAAGATTATTGACCATCATGGTTGATTCTCTATGCTTCGGAACAGATTAGGAACAACTGATTCACTCGAAATAGGATGAATGTCTTCGTATTTTACAATAAAAGAATTAATGCGCTTTCTCGTGAATCCAACTGGAATGCGTTAAGATAACGAACTAGTCAGTTTTGAAAGAGAGCCGATTTTGCACGTAGCGATTCCAGTTATATGGCTTCAGCCGATACTAGCATACATGTTTAAAACAAAGAGTTACCGACAAAGTTTAAACTGTGTAAATCTTGAGAGTCAACAAACCCTGATGAGCTAAATGCTTCATTGAAATCTATAAAAACATTGTGCATTTCTTACATTCATAGGTGACTTTCAAGCATAAAATCGCATCATGTGGCGATGCTACTTCTACAGCTGCTATCTTTTTTTTTGGCTACTCTTTGTCGTTCAGACATCGTTTGTCGGTAGTAGCATTTAGTTCAAGAACCTGGGTAGTTTTTGCGTAAATGATACGTCGCGGAGTGATCCAAACATGTTACCAATCGCCGATGGTCCTCCGCGACTTATTCGTACTGTGCTCATGGATTACTCTATCAGGTTGGTGTCGGTGAAGATCAATCATGGCTTGTACATGTCTGGGGTATGAATGGATATGACTATGGGTTTGCCTATGGAACATTATTGAGTGAACAAATCATTCATTTTTTTCCAAAATTATATGCTTATCTAGAGCAAGAAATAATTGATCATCTGGAACATCTTAAGTTGCCCAAATGGCTAAAACAGTTAATTGCCGATGAAGGTCTTGCATTTGCTTTGGATATGCAAAATTTACTAGCCCAAGCATATGTGGATCCAGAAATTTACCGTGAGCTTCGTGGTATAGCTGATGCTACGAAAATTGATTACGATCTTTTACTACGTTTGCATATGTTCGGTGAATTGACTCGAGGTAAGACAGTAATCAAAAAGACCTCTTCTCCTATTGAATAGAAATATACATAGGTCACTGTTCCTTGTACGGTCTTTGGGGTAAGGCAACACTCAATGGTAAGACTCTTCAAATGCGCACCTTTGATTGGGACATAGGTGCTGGTCTTCAAGACTATCCCGTAATCACTATCTATCATCCTCGCTCGCCGACACTTGGTCATACCTTCACCAATGTTGCCTGGGCAGGTAATTTCATCATTTTGACTATCTCAAAAGAACTGATAGTTTCTTTTTCAGGCTACATTGGCGTACTGACTGGTATGTCTTCAACAATGATGGGCATCGGATCAATCGGTATCCTCTTTCCTGACGATACGTTTGGTGATGAAAACATGATGGGTCTACCGTTTATTTTTCTTCAACGATATCTTATGTAATATTCTGAGACGCTCGATGATGCTCTTTTCTACATTACCAATATTCGTCGAACATGTCACTTGATGTTAGGCATTAGTGATGGCAAACTGGGCACAGGTCGCATAATTCAATATTCACATTCACTTGTCCGTTTCTTTGACGATATCAATTTGCAGCCATTAGCTGATTGGCATCCACGTCTTGACAATGTCGTCTATGAAGATATGGATTGGCTCTGTCCGGCGTTTCAATCTAAACCCTACGAACAGATCCGAGCTCAGTACGGTCAGATCACACCAGAAACGACTATTCAAAGTATTCCCTCAGTGGTCAAAACCGGCGATGTTCAAGTGGTCGTGTACGATCTCACGGATA